TTTGGGTTTAGTTTTTTTTTATCTTATTCTCGACTGTTTTCTGTCTTTTTTTGTAAGATGTGTTCGCAGATACGAACGGTCCTCTATAACTGCATTTATTTCATATTTTCTCCCTTCTCTTTCTTTTCCCTCCCTTTTAACTCCTCAATATCGCAATCTCCCTCACCCCGTATTAAAAAGACAAACAAAATATCCCCTCTTCTTTCTTCCCCTCCATTTTTTACTCGTTCCCGAAACCACAATCTTCCCCAAGTTGGCCCGAAGACGCGAGCCCAAAAATACCCTCCTTCCGCCATCATCGAGAGCGGAGCAGCGGCAAAGAAAGGCAGCGGCGCAGTGATTATGATCCACGGCGGTTCGGGTGCCACCTGGTTAGGGGGAAATGAAGATGCACGGGGGGCGAGGGAGCTGTGAAGGCCGCAGGCTCATCGGCTGCGCTCGTACATATTTCACTCCTGGTTAGTGTTGGGACTCCGGGCGGGCCGTCGACGGGTTCTCGCGCAGTTGTAGAGCGCGTGGGTGCGAGGGTGCGAAGGTGGGGGCGGGTGGGAGTCGCTCCAGTTCTGTTAAATTCCTTTTCTTTTCTCTTTTATTGTTCTAAGGTGGGGGTGAGCTTCTTACCTCTGTGTAATTCCTTTTTTTTTTCTTTTTTATATGTTCAAGTGCGGGGGATGACCGTCGTTCCAAGCTGTGTAGAATTCATTTTCTTTTTCTTCTTTTCTTTTTTCGTTGTTCTAGGGCGGGGGATGAGCTCCGTTCCGGCTCTGTAGAATACCCTTTTAATTGTCTCTTTTCTTTTCTTTCCTTTTTTTCTTTTTTTTCCTTCTTTTTAATGTCCTGGCAAAGAAAAGGGGTATTATATTACGCCCCCTTTTTTCTCATTTAATGGCAGTGTTAATTGGTGTCTTTATTGCAGACGTCCCCATTATCCGTAATTAGGTTTTAATTATTGATATCGATCGTTATGCTGTACGTGGAGGGGGGGGGTCATATTTCCGCAGATAAGTACCAAGATGAGCATAAGATAAGCTCTCGGTATTTCTCCCTTCGTTATTCCGTTTGTGCTTTCTTTTTTTTTAACTTCGTCGGTCTTATCACTCCTTCGTTTTTTTGTTTTTTTTTTTCATACATTGAGGTAGGTTTGCATTGTATGAGGAAGACCTTTCTCTCCTTCTTTTTTCCTCTTTATTCTTGGCTTTCTTCCTTTTTTTCTTTTTCTTTTTTTTCATGTGCTCATATTTCTAGAAGTCACCTTGTGCGCATAAGTAAAGACTAGATAAGGCTTTTTCCTCTCGAAGGCAAAGCGGTAAAGATTGCGATTTTTTTAATGCATTTTTTTAAACGAGTAACTAAGAAATGCAGAAGTGTTTAAACCTCTCCCTTGAGGTGAAATTCTTTTATTTTCTTCTCCTTCTTCTCCTTCTCCTTCTTCACCTCCCCCTCCTCTTTCTTCTCCTCCTCCTCCTCCTCTGCTTCCTCCTTCTTATTCTTATTCTTGTTCTTTTCCTTCATCTTCTCCTTCGATGGTGGCTGATGCAGATAAGAAAATAAGAAATGGACCTATATGTAAATGAAGAGAAATGCATCGTTGGATTCTCTCGCTTGATATGAAATTCACCATTTTTTTTCTTTTTCCTTTTTCCTTTTCTTTTTCGTTTTCGTTTTCATTTTCTTCTTTCTTTTTTCTCCTTTTCTTTTTCTTTTTTTCCTTTTTTCGTTTTCATTTTCTTGGTCTTCTCCTCCTCCTCCTTCTCCTCCTCCTCCTCCTCCTCCTCCTCCTCCTCCTCCTCCAATCTTCTTCAACATTTCTTTTTTTTTTCTTAGCTTTGCTTTGCTTTTAATTTTATCAGCGGCGGCGAATACAAACCTAATGTGGAAGGCGATTTTCAAGGGCGCTTTCGCAAACCGGCGTCGCCCGCAAACAGAGCCAATGAGAACTTTTTGGAAGCTTATTGGTTTACGAGGGACTTCTTTCAGGGCAAATATTGGCGTATCATGCGACTGTTTCTTAAGTGTGTGTGTGTGGGAGAGAGGGTGAGAGGGAGGGGAAGAGGGGAGAGGGGGAGAGGGAGGGGGGAAGAGGGGAGAGGGGAAGAGGGAGTGAGGGAGGGGGAGAGAGAGGGGAGGGAGGGAGAGAGGAGGGAGAGGGAAGGAGGGACTGAGAGATAGAGATAGAGAGAAAATAAAGAAGGAGAAAGATAGACTGTGTTCTTGTATTTATGCCTACCCCATCGCCTGTCTCCCAGTGCTTTAGATATCGCTTTCATATATTCAGCCTCAATTTAGACATCGATTCCCAATAAACACTCAAAAAGAAAAATCGCATGGAATCGTCTCACAGCCTTTCAACAGCTTAGATAAAAAGAAGGAAAAAAATGCTATTTATATATTGGAAAAAAAAACACACACACAAAGAAGAGCCCAAAACATCAAAGGAAAAGAAGACAAAGGCAACGGAGGCGGAATGAAGCGAAAAGGAAAATGAATTAGAGTAACAGCGATTTCTCTCCGGATTCATATTGGAGCCACGTTGCATATATTACCCCTTTGCCCCTCCCCCCCCTTTCCCCTTCCCCCTTCCTCCCCCCTTTCCCCCTTCCCCCCCTTCCCCCTTCCTCCTCCTCCCCCTCCCCCCCCCTCCAGCCGTGGTTCTAAGGAGAGTAAGTTTTGGCGAAACATCAGAAAACAGGAGATAAATCAGAGCAGGAAAGCAGGAAGAGGAGAAGGAAGAGGAGGAGGAGGAGGAGACATCCCACCCCTTCCCCCGCCAGCGATCTTATTAGCATAGAGTAATGGCGGCGACCGTCTTCAAATGAAATTAAGAAGGGGTAATCAGGTATTTTATGCTGCGGGAAATTACTCGGCCTCTAATTATATTCAGATTTGATATTAGGAAGGAGGGGGGGAGGGAGGGGGGGGGGAAATTTGCTCTGATTCAGTGGTAAAATCGCAGGCGGATTTGGCGTTTAGGTTAGCCGTTGTTTAGTCGTCCTTTGGGTGAGAAAAGGGGGGGGAAGAGAATATGGTAGGATATATAATCTCTCTCTCTCTCTCTCTCTCTCTCTCTCTCTCTCTCTCTCTCTCTCTCTCTCTCTCTCTCTCTCTCTCTCTCTCTCTCTCTCTCTCTCTCTCTCTCTCTCTCTCTCTCTCTCTCTCTCTCTCTCTCTCTCTCTCTCTCTCTCTCTCTCTCTCTCTCTCTTCTTCTCTCTCTTCTCTCTCTCTCTCTCTCTCTCTCTCTCTCTCTCTCCTCTCTCTTCTCTCTCTCTCTCCTCTCTCTCTCTCTCCTCTCTCTCTCTCTCTCTCTCTCTCTCTCTCTCTCTCTCTCTCCTCTCTCTCACACACACATAGATGGATAGATAAATAGAAACTATATGTATATTTATACTGTTTATACATGCGTATATCTATCTCTACCTATCTGTGTGTGTGTTTGTCAAGGTTTCCGTGCATCCTTTTTTTTTTTTCTTACTTACTTACTTACTTACTTATTGACTGACTGACTTACTGACTTAGTAGGCCTAATACACATTACGGGGAAGTGTGTATTCAGCGGCAAGTGGCTCCAAGCAAGTGGTATAAGTCTTGAAAAGTCTTTTATAAGTCTCAAATTTCAACATACCTACAACAATTGTGTGTGTGTGTGTGTGTGTGTGTGTGTGTGTGTGTGTGTGTGTGTGTGTGTGTGTGAGAGAAAATATGTATATACTGTGTATAAGTGTATGTATGTATGTATGTATGTATGTATGTATACACACAAACACACGCACACACACACACATACACATACACACGCAAACACACACGCATACATACACACACGCATACATATATATGTGTGTGTGAGTAGAGGAATGATTGATTGAGATTGAGAAAGAAAGTGCTGTCTATTCTTTTATTGAAGCACACGAGGGTGAATGGAAATGGCAATAACGATACGCATGAATGAGGTGAATGAGGTATTGGCAAAATAAACAAGCTTGATATATTAAACCCAGTCTGATAAGGCAATCAAACCCTCCCTTTACCACGCGAGTGAAGGCTTAAGAAAGTGCACGCTTTGAAAGCTTCCGAGGAGGGGAAAAACGAAAAAAAAGCTTAAATCTTGAATCGAAAAAAAGGTTTTAAAAAAAGGTTAAATCTTGAATGAAATATGTAAATACGGAATTTAGGAGGAGCATGATTGATGTTAGGTAATCACGAAGAAAACACGACGGCGGGACACGAACGGGTCGTAAATTACGGCGAATATATTGCACCGCCACGAGGAAATAATTAGCATCTTTAAGAGAGTGAGAAAAAAATCGCAATAAAATGCCCGAGTTATACAAGATGGGACACTTTACGATCCTTGAGGGATGGAGGGGGAGGGGGGGGGCAGCCGGGATTCTAATGAATGTCACGTAAAGGGAATGATGTGGTTTTCGGTCCTTTTGACGAATTTGCGAAAGAGGGAATGGGGGATAGCAAGTGTTTAAGAGGAGAGAGATGTGGCGGGGGGAAAATGGTTAATTGGTCGTTGGCTTCCCATGATGTCCGTCTGGTTCAAGAAAGACGGCTTGTCTGGGTGTATTGGCTTTAAATGCATGGTTTAATCCCGTAATTATCCACGTTTGGTAAACAGATTTTCTAGTGTCGAAGAAAAATGACTGGCTGGGAAAATGGTCGAGACATCCGGGAATTTCACGAAGGGAAATGGGTAACAGATTTTTACTAAGGTGTTTAATATGGCGTAACAGATTTTAGGAAATAAATCCAGAGTTAAATAGAGGGTGTTAATATATGTAAATAGTGGGGCTGGATCAACCCGTGCTTTAGAAGAAGCCAATGTTTTTAGTTTTTTTTTTTTTTTTTTTTTTTTTTTTTTTTTTTTTACACGAGATATCTCAAAGCAGACAGCTGGCCCGGTTGGACAGCTGCGCTCTTATTAAAGCATGTAACCATTTTTATTTGCTATTAATAAAACCGGAACAATGATTCTAAACTGCCTTTCTCACTTTCAGGTTCCCACGCGAACAACAGACACTGAAGAATCACTTCTATTTCACCGACTTCGAGCGCCACAATGCAGAAATTGCTGCCTTTCATCTGGACAGGTAAATGTCCTGTGGAAAGGCCGGGTCACACGAACAGTGATATATATGTGTGATCAGATATATGGCTGATAGTTGATGGAACATTTAATTTAGTTTAAGATGAAATGGAGAAATA